AGCCTCTTATTTTGCATGGAAATCCCTGGGAAGCATGGATTTTTTGCACCCGGGTATGGGACCTCCACACTGTTTTTCACCAATTAATGTCTATGCCGATCAATACTCAAATAAGTTGATTACAAGGTTTTAGTACTTGTTTTTCTTACATATCAGACTGGACTATCTAATGTTTATACCGGCGCTAGAAATGTAAGACACGTCGCCTGTTTTAAATGACGTCTATCTAACGCGCCTGTTATGAATGAATTTCGTTCTTCGAAAGACGTCATTTTACCCTTATGAATGAAGTTGTAAATCAAAACGCTACTATAAGAAAGAAGTGCTACATGCATGAAAATATAAGTTTACGTTATTTCGTTCCAAAATCTGATAAATATATCATATGCAAGTGTCGCAGGGTTAAATATTTCTACACTGGATAGAAACAAACTCTGGGTGTAGGTTCGATCTTTTAATATATTCCAAATAAAAATGGTCTACATTTATTTAGATATATAATAAAATAATTATACATCTTACAAATATAAAAACAAAATACAATAAAACAGATTTATATACACATTCGAAGCGGAATAAGAAAAAACAAATAACTTAATTTTGATGACATGACAGCGTCTGTATGAATATATTTACTTATGAAATTACTTCAATTTTAATTGAAATAAAGCAAACGTAGATCTAAAAATAGCTGCCGGTTTCTTTTTGCAGCGCCAGTTTTTGGCAAATTCAACCCCTATTTTTACGCGCTTTAAAAAAATGAAAACTATCTTAAATTGTCATATTTACTAAAAGGTTTAAAAGTTAATATGTTTTGTTTTTCTATCTTTAATACTTTTTTGTAAAAATGCATTGAAAGTTTGCATTTGCCATGGCAAAGTGTGTTTTGCCATGGCATTTCGGCATTTTGCCATGGCAAATAATTTGCCATGGCAAATTAGAATTGCCATGGCAAGATTTTTCCTACTTTTGCCATGGCAATTATTTTTTTAAAACATCACAAAACATTCTAAAACTTATCCTTTGACATGTTATTGGTGCTATTGTTATGTTTTTATTGTAATCTCTAATTTTTTTTCATTTTGCCATGGCAAATGTTTGCCATAGAAATGCCATGGCAAATTTCTGCCATGGCAAATTTGCCATGGCAATTCCATGGCAAAAATTTGCCATGGCATGTCCATGGCAAAAATTTGCCATGGCAAGTACATAAAAGTTTGCCATGGCAAAATATTATCAAAAAAAAAAAAAAAATTTTCTTTGAATTTTATTTTTATAAATTTAGACATGGCAAATGACATATTAAGGAATATAATATTTAAAGTTAACGCAAGGAATATCTTTTCAACCACGGTCCTATTAATTAGAATACATTGTATATGACATTACATTTTAAAATGACAATAATTATGAGATCAAGGATCAAATATAATCATTCATGCTAAATAATAATAAAGCTTGAGTGGTAGTTATATAACAGAGAAAAATAAGAATCCCTCGAGAAAGCCCAACACTGCAAATTTGAAAATTTGAGCCTGTTCATGGACGGTACTGGTAGTCCAGTGGTAGGACGCGCGCTTAGGGATCGAGAGGTCCTGAGTTCGAACCCCACCAGGGGCACTGCTAATTTCCTTGAGCAAGAAATTTACCTGCGATTGCTTCACTTCACCCAGGTGTAAATGGGTACCTGCGAGGGTGGTATAATTCCGTTGCGCCAAAGTGTCGGCTGCACTAAGCGGAGTTAAAAGACTCCCTAGGGAGATTGATAGATAGATACCAGTAGCCCGATGACCAGGGGTAATAGCTGTAAAGTCGGTGAACGTGCGTAAGCATGAAACTTAGACTATAAAATGCAATTACTTTACTTTTACTGGTAAGTGCAAATTACCGTCAACGTCCCCTAGCACCGGCTTAAGCAGTATATAACATTTTAACATGAACTGGTAAAATTTAGAATTTTGAAACATCCGCATATGTGTTCATATGGTGGTTATCATGGAACCTTTAATGTGACACGTTAGTACCATTCCATGAAAAGCGGCATATTACAATAAACTTATAATAACATAAATAACAGACTTTACTTGTTAACTATATATAACTTTTAAACACCATAATTATGTATAAATATGTGCAATTACATTTTTAGTTTCCGGTTTCTTCTAGTATAATGCAGTCTGCGTGATAAAGGACTGCTAAGGAAGGACCTTACAATCCTCACAAGGAAATGATGGGAGATGCATTTCTTAAATCTCGTTCCGCGCCCCCGTGTAGGCCCCCTGTGACTAAGAATAGAGTACCGCTCAAGCCGGTGCTAAGGGGCGTGAGAGATGTTGCACATATTCATTATCCCTCATGTACAGACTCAATCAAACCGAGTCTGAAGTTCTCGTGTAATTTTGTTGTGATTAATGCTTCCGAGGGATCACTTTGTCTCCAGATTTTTGAATTTTCAATTGTATATTTAATGTAGGAAAGATACGATAATTATTTTTTGCGGTGGTTCTCTGGTCATATAATTTCGTTGATTCGCATATTGAAAATGTAAGCAACGATTGATTCAATAATTATTATACTTACATATTCCAACGTCTGCAAGATAATGAAGACATAGAGGGTGAAGGCAGTCCAAGTCAATATAAAAGACATGCGCATGCTTGAAATTGGGAGTATCCGTACCGTTCGGCTCGAAGTAAATCTGGATACCCGGGGTTCGAATCTCGGATGGTGAAAGTCATTTTCACTGTGATTGATCGTACCACATTTCGAAGAGTACCTTTGCCCTAGCATGTACTGAAGTTATCAGCACGTTGCAATTTAGAGTGAATGCAACTACATGTAGTACTGCGAAGCTGCTTGACAGCCTGTCCAAGAAAATGTGGTGGCTGAAATGTGCTCTGGTAAATAAATTGTGACTTTCTTTGGTAAGGAGGTTAAACCACCTATGTAATTATGGAATATGTTTTGAACATCTTAAATATTCTATCATGCTGTAAATGTTATGAATAATTAAAACAAGAGCGATCAGTAATCACATGTGTCGCCTCATGATGGCCAATTTCATGTTGGGACAAATTTTGTGACAGACAGACAGACAGACAGTGCACAACTAGACTTGGTACTGATCATTCCTGTAAAGTTTGGATAAAATTGCACCAGTAGTTTATGAGGAGTAGTCCGGACAAGCTTTTGTGTATCTGGCAACGACAGAAAAAAACACCTTTTTGTCAAAGGGCCATAACTCGGCCAAAAATCATTCAACCGGAAAACTCGTGCAATATGCGCAAGGACTTGAGCTACAGATCAATCCTGTAAAGTTTCATTGAAATTGCAATAGTGGTATAAGAGAAGTAGTCCGGACAAACTTTAAAATTAAAAATTATTAAAGGGTCATAACTCTGACAAAAATCACTGAACCGGAAAATGCTGACAATATGCACAACTAGACTTGGTACTGATCATTCCTAAATAACAGTAAACGTGTGATTTGCAAGAGGTGACTGAAAAGAATGAGCGGGTCAGGAAGAGCAAACAGTGCACAGAAGTTAAAAAATATTTAAAAGAACCAATGAATATCTTTCTCAAATAGAAACATATAAAACAAACAAAACAATTGGATAAATACAACACAGAACAAGTGACCAGTGTTCATGATATTGCACGGGTGAGCTTGACAATATACATCAATATACATCAGGAACGGAAATTGTGAAGTTTCACCGATTCAATACCGGAAGCTAAACATACATGGTAAAAAAACTAAACGCAACCGAATAATCTGAATAAAAACGCGCGTGCACGATATTTACGTTTAAAGATCCTGTATGTAACCACACTTAAATATGCGAAATTTTATATTTGTATATAATTATGCTTCTAAAATAATTTTCAAACATCGAAGAATATCTAAAGTATGTACTGCAATTACTTGTCACATTATATGTAATAATTGAAATATATGCATTTATTTCTTATTGAAAAAATGACATAGACATTATAGAAAATAAATTTCTAATTACCTCCTGTTATAAACATGAAATGTAAATTCGGTAATATCTTTACAAATATTGTTTTTTGGAACTTACAATATTGATAAATCTTCATTTAAGCATTATATTAAATTTATGATATAAAACCATATAAAATAAGTTAAAATGATCTTTAAAATTATTAAATAGTTATTTATCACTTGTATCATCCACGAGATTGTGACTCAAAACCTAGAAATATTGTAGATTTACATTTAATATTTACAGCAAGATATTGAGGATATTGTTTAGTTCAGTGTAAGATCGGAATATATTTCACCGAGTGAGCACCAAAAGGTATAATTTCACGAGTGGGCGCAGCCACGAGTGAAAATATGAACTTTTGGTGTTCACGAGGCGAAATATATTTCAATCTTACACTAAACTAAACAAATTTTCTTTTTATTACATGAAAGAACGTTTAAAAAGACTTTTTAACTAGAACTAAATGAAAAGCGCGCGCAAAATACTAATACAACGTGACGTCATTTATGACACGTCACGTCATTAAAAATGGTTTTCCAGTACTGTGCACGATGGTATTTCACTAAAACAACGTAACGGGCTTAAATTCAAAACAGTGAAATTATCAAATTGGTAATTTCACTGTTTAAAACAGTGAAATTACCAGTTTTTATTTCACTGATATATTTCTATAAACCACCGAAAAGCATGTAATAAATTAAGTTTGTTATATTTGCAAAGTGGAAGGAATCGATTATAATCTTCGAAAGAGAGAATTTCCGTTTTTCTTAAATAGTGTTATATTGTTTATATTTCTGGCAATGGCAATGGTCTGGAAAGGGAATTGATTTATAGAATTATTGCTGTTGACATGAAATCCTTAATCCAAAAAGGTTTCATAGTATTTGTTAGTATTCTAGTATATTCTTTTCTCAGCCTTTCTAAAGATATCTCAATAATGTAGAATTCATTAAACAATAAAATATTTAAGCTTAAAAAGTAACAAACCTGTCCCTTGCCGTCTTTTAAACTCATCGACGTCTCTCTTCACATCAGTTACATTTTCCTTTATGTCTTCAATGTCTCTCTTCATTGCAGTATCATTTTCTTTTGCGTCTTCAAGGTCTTTCTTCACTTCAGTTACATTTTCCTTTATGCCTTCAAGGTTTCTCTTCACTGCAGTATCATTTTCTTTTACGCCTTCTAGGTCTCTTTTCACCTCAGTTACATTTTTCCTTATGCCTTCAATGTCTTTTTTTACTTCAGTTACATTTCCCTTTACGTCTTCAATGTCTTTCTTCACGTCAGATATATTGTCTTTCACTGCTGTCATTTCCTGCTTCAGACGGTCAACATCATCTTCATAGTCCTTCCACTTTTTTATTTCTTTCTGTATCCTTCTCTCTTCTTCCAGATCAAGAGGGCAAGTTTTGAATTCGGCAATTGTTTGCTGAATATTCAAAGCTGAAGAACTTCGACGCATAAGTATCTAAAACCGGAATTAAATAACAACAATATCATTTAAGTTTGGTTGTTTGATCTTTTTAAGTGTTTATCGAAGATGTTGATCCAACAACTTATCTGTTTATAAAATATTATGCATGAAAAAAACAACACATTATTCTGAACAAGAGTCATGATTACTCTACTTATTATAAAGGCTCTTGTTAACAAGGGCCAATTAACACTGTTTACTATCAATGGAAAACAGATATTAAGTCTTAATCTTTTACTGATATCACAAAGGTCATATCTGCATCTGAAATCGTGCAAATGTAAAAACGTTTATGGGTTGTTATTGCTAAGAAACTTTATTAGTAATTAAAAAATTCACTGGTGGCTATAAAAAAAACTTAAGGTGTCTTTGGAAGTTAGTGGTTACTATGAAAGTCAATGTTTGATTCCTCGATTTAAAATCAATAGTTTCTATGGAAAGTTAATGGTAGCTAAGAAATAAAATGGTTCCTATGGAAATATGGAAAGTCACTGTATGCTCTGGAAAACAATAAATGCAATGAGAGTCAATAGCTTCTATAGAAGTGACAGGTTGATAAAAAAAAATTCATTTTGTTTTTGGAAATCACTGCTTGCTTAATTTTACATCAATAATTGACGAAAATAACTTGTTGCTAATAAACACATGTTTTGTTTAGGAAAAAGAACGGCTGATATGGAATTGGCTTGTTGCTAAAGAATGGTCGTTTTTGAAGTCACTGGTTACTCTGGAAAGTCAGCGATGCCTCATGAGATCACTAATTACTTTGGAAAGTCAATTGCTGCTACAGAAAAAACTGAAGACAATAGTTGCTATCAAAGTCACTGATGACTGTAAAGTAACGATTGTTGATCCACTGGTTGCTATTAAATTTAAGCCCCAGTAAGGATCATCATGACCCCTAAGGCATGGCAAATTTAACACCAGGGACGTATTCTAAACTATTTTTCCTGTAAAATATCTAAGATATCTCATAGACATAAGTAAAAGTACAAGAAAACCTAAAAATTGTGACGCACTGAATGTACCGGGAATCTGAAATATTTAATCACTGAATGTACTGGAGAACCTGAAAATTTGGAAGCACTGTAATGACTAGAAACATCAAAATTTTGTAACATTGAAAGTACTTAAAACCTGAAAATAGTCAAGAACTGAGAGTATTGCACTGTAGATACTGGGAACCCTTAAATCGAGATTTTTTTAATTACTTGAATCCTAAAAATTGGGAAGCACTGAATGAACAGGAAACCTGAAAATTGTAAAACACTATGAAGCATTGAAATTTACCGAAAATTATGACATACTGGAATTAATGAAAATTGTGATGCACGGATAACTGAACACCTGAATGTGTAACGCACTGAAATAATTGGTACTTGAAAACTGCGAAGGACTGGAATATCTGATACTTGTGAATTATAACGCACTGAAACAACTTGAAATCGAATATAAGAAAGAAAGAAATAGACACAAGAAAATCGTTAAACACTGAAAGCATTTGATACCTGAAAATCGTGAAACACTGAATGTACATGACACCTGAAACTCATGAAACACTAATGGTACTTGACACCTGAAAACCGTGAAACACTGAAGGAACTTGACACCTTAAAATCGTGAAAAACTAGAAGTACTTGACACCTGAAAATTGTGAAACACTGAAAGCAATTGACACCTGAAAATCGTGAAACACTGAAAGAACTTGGCGCCTGAAAATCATGAAACACTGAAAGCACTTGACACCTGAAATCGTTAAACGCTGAAAGTACTTGACTCTTGAAAATCGTGAAACACTGAAAGCTCTTTATAACTGAAAATCTTGAAACACTGAAAGTATTTGACACCTGAAAACCGTGTAACACTGAAAGCACTTGACATTGAATAATTGTGACGCACTCAAAGTACTGATACTTGAAAATCACAAAACATTGAACGTACTTGACACCTGAAAACCGTGATACACTGAAAGTACTTGGCACCTGAATAACGTGACTCACTGAAAGTACTTGACACCTGAAAATCAAGAAATACTGAAAGTACTTGACACCTGAAAATCGTGAAAAACTGAAAGTACTTGACACCTGAAATCGTGAAACACTTTAAGTACATGACACATGAAAATCGTGAAACACCGAAAGTACTTGACACCTGAAAACCGACCATGAAGTACTAAAGGTACTTGGCACCTAAAAATCGTGATACACTGAAAGGACTTGACACCTAAAAAATCGTAAAACACTGAAAGTACATGATTCCTGAAATCGTAAAAGACTGACAGCACTTTATATCTGAAAATCGTGAAACACTGAAAGTACTCGACACCTAAAAATAGTATTTGACACCTGAAAATCATGAAACACTGAAAGCACTTGATATTTGATAATCGTGACGCACACAAAGTACTGATACAGTCGACTCCACTTATAACGAACTCGCTTATAACGAATTATCGTTAATAGCGAACTAAATCTGAGATCCCCGGCCGATTCCTTCTTTATTTTATATTAAATCACATCGCTTAATACGAACTCGCTTATAGCGAATTTTCGGCTATAACGAACCATTTTTTCAAGCCCCAAATGACTGAAAACATTTAAATTTCCTCGGTTATAACAAACTGTTATTATTGAAATATCGGGATGCGCTTGATTAGGATCAGTACATAAATAACACTATCCGATAATTAAACAATCGAATGACAGGTTAGTTATGGCTTAAGGGAATACAAATTTTGAAAAATATTCTCATTACATAATTTCCTACTTGTTACGGAAAATTTGTATTTCACACCCTCAGTTGATTGCTGTAAATACCCGATGATTGCCAAGTAATCGATTTTTTGTGTTTGCATTATTAACTAAACGATAATAAGCTAAAAGTAAAAGAAAACAAATGGTAAGAACTTCATAGACAATTAATACATGAATAAATATATGTACCATGTACATAATATATTGCTCAATAAAATGCCCCACATTAAATAACCGCTGCAGTAACATACCAGTATCAACGGTAACCTGTGAAGAGTATGGCTTTGTCACGGCAAATTTGCCCGACCAAATTAGTCAGCAAGTTGTTGCTACTTCGCTTGTAGCGAACTTCGGATATAACGAACGATATTTCAATGCCCCATTGAGTTCGTTATAACCGAAGTCGACTGTACTTGAAAATCGCGAAATTACACCGAAAATTGTGAAACACGGAAACTACTTGACACCTGAAAAATGTGACACACGGAATATACTTGACACTGAAAATCGAAAAATATTGAAAGTACCTGACACCTGAAAACCGACCATGAAGCACTAAAGGTACTTGGCACCTTAAAATCGTGATACACTGAAAGGACTTGACACCTAAAAAATCGTAAAAAACTGAAAGTACTTGACCCCTGAAAATCGTGAAACACTGAAAGCACTTATATCTGAAAATCGTGAAACACTGAAAGTACTCGACACCTAAAAATCATGAAACACTGAAAGTATTTGACACCTGAAAATCATGAAACACTGAAACACTTGACATTTGATAATCGTGACGCACTCAAAGTATTGATACTTGAAAATCGCGAAATGACACCGAAAATTGTGAAACACGGAAAGTACTTGACACCTGAAAAACGTGACGCACGGAAAGTACTTGACACTGAAAATCGAAAAATACTGAAAATACTTGATACCTTAAAATCGTAAAGTACTGAATGCACTTGACACCTGAAAAGCGTGACGCTCTCAAAGTATTGATACTTGAAAGTGTCAATGTTTCTTAAGTATAAATACACCAATCTTTTGCATTAATAAGTCAAAATAATTCACATTGTGTTGGAGATTTCCAAAATGTACAAACATTATTTTCCAATTAAATGAACCATAGTCTAAAATATAAAATTTGAAATTCCTACATAGATCAAATTGGACAATTTAACAGAAATAACCAAAGAAAGGTAAGCTCAAAATTGTATTTTGCTTTTTTGCGTTGCTTTTGTCAATATTTTGTCGTTTTATACGGTTAGAATATTTGTTCTGGAAGCAACAGAGACCTACTACAAACGGAACAATAATCCGAAAAATTATTTCCAATCCCGTCATGTCTAAAAGCCTCAATGGTGTCCCTTTAATAGAGCGAGAAGTGCTGTAAATAATTTCAATACTCAAATGTCTCCATGAGGAAATTGGCTCGTTTGAAATTCATTCTTTACTTGTTTTGACGTACATGTAGCGTCAAACATGTATACTTATAAATGTTTGACGCTACATGTTTATATGGATTATGATGTTATATGATTTATTAAATTTGTATTTTATATCCCATATGTTTACATTTTTTAAGAATATATTACTTACCGTATATAATACTCTTTCTTCATTTAAAAATAGATTGAAAGGTTACAAAGATATCAATAATACTATAAAAGGGAAATGTGCTCACCTGTTCAATACTCATTCCACCAAGCTGTAAAATCATTTTGTTGTATTGCAGTCGTTGTTTGATATATGACTTATCTGAATAAAAAAAACAATATGATTCAACATGAAATATGAGCTCAAATTATTACTGAATCAAAAGTAACAAAAGCAAGCCCTCCCCTTCTTCTCCCGTCTACAGATCACCCACTACCCCCCCCCCTTCCAAAACAAACGAACCAATAACAACACAAACCATTTTGTCAAGTGAGACATTGATAATTTTGAATATGAAAGTAAGGCAGATTTGTTGTACACATTGTGGTCGAAATGATATGAGTATGTAAATCCTGATAAATGTAATTTCAGAGTCTATGACACGATCAGAAACATGAATTTAGATGTGCGATGAACAATGTGATAATATTTCTGTATTCTGACAATTATTCATATCTGGGATTGTTAATTAACGAGTATTTAGATTTGGGCTTTATAACAGCTAAAATGGTAGCTCAGAGCGCTAGTCGTGCCCTCGTTCTACTTATGCCAAATGTGCAAAGTTATTGGTGGTCTGCCTTATAAGGTTTTACCAAATGAATTGACTCTGCTGTGATGGCCGGTTTATTGCCTAAGGAGCTGCAATATGGGGTCATAAAAATTGTTCCTGTATTGCAGCAGTGCAACATCGGGCAATGAGGTTTTTTTCTTGGTGTTGGGAAATACACACCAACAGCAAGCTGTTTCTGGTGATATGGGATGGGTGCCCGCCACATGTACCGCAATGGAAGTCATTAGTCAATTTTTGAGCCCGATCTCTCATGTACCAATACTACAAGATTAAATAAGCGAATTGCGCTCTGGTTCCTCAAGTAAGTCAATCAAGATGTAAAAAACTGGTATTTTTTGGCGGTTACATAAACAGTTGAATGAAGTTAGACCTGTCAATATATAATGATGTATCCATGACTATATCCCAAGAGTGATATTGCTAGAGATGTTTAAAAAAGAGTGGTTTGATAAAAATTAATGCACCAACGGGCTCATCAGGTAGATGCGGACATAAATTACGGACATATTTTAAATTTTAAAGAAAAATATTGTGTGAACCTTTTTGTACAATGATTTTGCCTGTGAGCCACAGATCAGCTTTTAGCAAATTAAGATGTGGTGTGGCACCAATTTTGTATAGAAACCGAAGATTTGAAAATCTCTCCATATGTCCGTTTTTGTCATGTGGTAGAGGATCAAAACTCATGTTATTACTAGAATGTCAGTTATACAATGATTTAAGAAATGTACTTTTTGAAACAAGCTGCAGTTGTTGTTATTAATTTTATCGACCTGATAGTGATGAGAAATTCAAAGTTATTATTCAGTAATACTAATGTAATATGAGTAAGTGCCAAAACTTGCTTAGAAGTTAATTTGTTCATGTGTAAATTAGGATGTTTTAGTCCTGTTATTAAAGTAGTAGAAAAATGTAACGATAAAAGTGTACATAGTACATAGTTTTTAACAGCAATTAGCTTTAAATTTTATAATTGAAGATGACAGATATTTTTGTTTTATTTTGGTTGTGAAGGAAGATTTAACTGTGGCAATGATATAGCAGTTACATTGCCACAGTGTATCGACATTGAATATTAAGACATATTGTGTATGGGTTGATCTAAAAATGGTTGTGATTTAATGGCTGGGTTTAGTGCAGTTTGTTTGTACCCTACAAATTGTATCTACACTGGCACACAAATGTATCATGCTGGAAGGCGATCACCCTGAGACAGTCAAATAATTATTCAACCAACCAATTATTGTTAATATTATTTATTTTCTCATACTGTCATCTAAGGTGTGCAGAATAATGTCCTTTCACCCACCATGTTCTTCCATGTACTTATTTGGTTATGCATCATTTACAATCTGTGTACTTATTGGGACACATACCATGTTCAATCATGTACTTATTGTATCCACACATTTAGCAATAATCATGTACTTATTCGAAATATTATTTGGTTACACACCTTATACTCCATGATATACTCATTCATTTTGGAACATCATTACTCTTTTACTGCATAATTATATTATACAGCAATGCTGAGGTACATGATGCTCACTAACTTACGCTTTTGTATGAACATGTGACTATTTGGCCTCACTCACATAACAAGTTAATTGCAGTAGTATTGTCACAAATATTTCTTGGGCATTGATTTTGAAGTATATATGATTTTCATGAAGGAATAAGCAAAAATGTCTGTTATATATACATGTACTTGGTGATAATCACGTAAATTTGTTTTTTAGTTATAGAATATATTTTTACTAGTATCTCATCTGTTTTTTAAATATCTCCTATAAATCTATCGAGATTGGTCCAACATGTATTTTTGTATGATTGAATATTGGTGATGTATTGTATATATGACATGCTTGGAATGAAACAATAACTAAATTTTTTTTTAGATTTAAGACCCATTTTACTCCACAGGTAATTGAACGATAGAATGTAATTATGCCATTGTTTTACGTGATTTAGTCTATACAGTTTTATTTTCGACAATGCAGGGTATAAAAACCCAAAAGTATGAATGTAGAGAACATGCACAATACACTTCTTATGAATTGAGATATAAATAACTGACGAAGTTTAAAAAGCCCTACCAAGTAAAATGTAAAACATTTGATGGAAAAAATACAAAGAAAATTACTTACAAAAAATTATGACAAAGCTAAGCTAATCCAATCGTTTCTGGCTAAGTCAAGGTAATTTGTTAGTCAAGATCAAGTTAAATATGGTATGTTTAAAGATTTTGTCAAAAGGGCTTTTGTGTTAAAGCATGACGAAAATCCATTTAGAAATTACAAAGTAATGTCAAAGTTTGCGGTTTTACACATCCATACCACCAGGAACCAAATCACTGTCAAAACATCTCGGATTGTTTCAAGGCTGCAGTAGTATCTCGGATTATTTTATGACGGCAGTAAAGCTCCGATTGTTTCATCGTGGCAGTAGAACCTTACATTAGTTCAAATCGACATAAAAGCTCGGATGTTTCATGACTCCAGTAAAAGCTCCCATTGTTTAATGACGGCAATAAATGCTTGGATTGTCACATAACGGAAGTAAAATCTCGGATTGTTTCATGTAGGCAGTAATATCTCGGATTATGTAATGACTGTAGTTATACCTCGATTTATTTCATGATGATAGCAATTTCTTGGACTGTTTTATGACGGCAGTACTATACCGGATTTTTTCATGACGATATTATATCTAGGATTATTTAATGACGACAGTAATATGGCGAATTATTTCATGACTGCAGTAGTATCTCGGATTATTTCATGAATGTAGTTATATCCCGGATTTATTTCATGACGGTAGTACAATCTCGGTATGTGTCATGACGCCAGTAAAATCTCGGTATGTGTCATGACGGTAGTAAAATCTCGGTATGTGTCATGACGGTAGTACAATCTCGGTAAGTGTCATGACGGTAGTAAAATGTCGGTATGTGTCATGACGGTAGTAAAATCTCGGTATGTGTCATTACGGTAGTAAAATTTCGGTATGTGTCATGACGTTTGTAAAATCTCGGTATTGTGTCATGACGGTAGTAAAATCTCGGTATGTGTCATGACGCTAGTAAAATCTCGGTATGTGTCATGACGGTTGTAAAATCTCGGTATTGTGTCATGACGGCAGTTAAAATCTCGGTATGTGTCATGACGGTAGTAAAATCGGTATGTGTCATGACGGTTGTAAAATTCGTATGTGTCATGACGGTTGTAAAATTCCGGTATGTGTCATGACGGTTGTAAAAATCTCGGTATGTGTCATGACGGGTTTAAATCTCGGTATGTGTCATGACGGTAGTAAAATCTCGGTATGTGTCATGACGGTAGTACAATCTCGGTATGTGTCATGACGGTAGTAAAATCTCGGTATGTGTCATGACGGTAGTAAAATCTCGGTATGTGTCATGACGTTAGTAAAATCTCGGTATGTGTCATGACGGTATTTAAAATTCGTGTTCATGGACGGTTGTAAATCCGTATGTGTCATGACGGTAGTACAATGCTCGGTATGTGTCATGACGGTAGTACAATCTCGTATGTGTCATGACGGTAGTACAATCTCGGTATGTGTCATGACGGTAGTTAAAATCTCGTATGTGTCATGACGGAGTAAAATCTCGGTATGTGTCCATGAGCGGTAGTAACAATCTCGTATTTGTCAGTTGAACGTTGTAAAATCTCGGTATGTCATGACGGAAGTAAAAATCTTTCGTATGTTCATGACGGTTGTAAAAATCTCGGATGAGTCATTACGGTATACAATCCCCGCGTATGTTCATGGACGGTAGAAATCTCCGGTATGTGTCATGACGTTAGTACAATCTCGTATGTTTCAGGACGGTAGTAACCAATCTCGGTAATGTGTTCATGAGGTAGTACAATCTCGGTAGTGTCATGACGTAAGTAAATCTCGGTATGTGTCATGACGTAGTACCAATCTCGGTAATGTTCAATGACGGTAGTAAAATCTCGGTATGTGTACATGACGCTAGTAAAATCTCCGGCGTATGTGTCTATGACGGTAGTTAAATGATGCGGTATGCTGTCATCGACCGGTTTGTACAAATCTCGGTAAAGTGTCATGACGTAGTTACAATCTCGGTATGTTGTCATTGACGTGTAAAATCTCGTATGTGTTCATTGACGGTGAAAATCTCGGTATGTGTCATGACGGTAGTAAAAATATCGTTATGTGTTCATGACGGTTGTAAAATCTCCGTAAGTGTCATGAGCTGTAGTTAAAATCTCGGTATTGTCATGATGTAGTAAAATCTCGGTTAGTTGTTCATGACGGTAGTAAAATCTCGGTACAGTGTCATGACTGATTTAGTACAATCTCGGTATTGTGATCATGACAGTATAAAATCTCGGTATGGTCATGGACGGTTGTAAAATCTCGTATGTTTCATGACGGTTGTAAAATCTCGGTAAGTGGCATGACGCGAGTAGTAAAATCTCTGTATGTGTCGATGACGTAGTAAAATCTCGGTATGGTCATGACGGTAGTACAATCT